CCGAGACCATGCATTTGAGCTTCTGGGGAGTGAAGAAGCACGAAAGAATGGAATCATAAAGGAAAAACAAAACTATAATTCAAAGGAAATATGGGTCGGACGTACTCCTAGGTAAGCAAATGCATCCATAATGACTATTTTGTATAAATTTTCGGTCAGTGATTTGCAGCATATCACGTCTAATCTCATGGAGGTTAAAAAAAAATGCAGGCTATGGGGTGATCCTTGGAGTTTTCTGCAGCCAACCACAGAAATAAATGGCAGTTTAATTGCTTATCATCGCAAGATGGATCGAAGATGGTGGAGAGCACAGGTATATGTTTGCCTCAGTATTTTCAAATTCAATATTATTTCTAGTCAAATGTGTTATAATCAGTTAAAAATTTGGTCTTTTGATCATATCAGGCAGTTCGCTATCTTATGAGATTTCAAAGCGAGTACACGTGTGGATTGATGAATGTTGCTCGCCATGCAGCATTCAGAAAGAAAGCTGCAACAATGGTTATCGAAAGTTTTTCTGGAGAATGGCCTAAGGTTTGCGATTCTTGTTTTCTCCCCAGCTTTTCTTGTAGGACATACGAAGATTGACAAAAATTAAGAACGAAAAGCTACTTGAATATTCCAACGAAATACGTATCTTATCTTTACAGGATCTTACAAACAATCAAAGGTCCGACATTGAAGATTTTGTATGGTCAAATCACAAGGCTTGGATACCACGGCCGCTGCTGAGCATGCACGTAAGAATGGGAGACAAAGCCTGCGAAATGAAAGTAGTCGAATTCAAAGAGTACATGCGTCTCGCCAACCGCATCAGAAGGCGCTTCCCACACCTCAACAGCATTTGGCTGTCAACTGAAATGCAGGTTTACAGTCATAGCAGCACAACTTCCTTTGCTTCTAACTCTTCTTCCCTTTAGTAGTAATTAACACTAGTCTGCTTTAAAACACAGGAAGTGATAGACAAATCCAAAGAGTACACTAACTGGAAGTTCTATTACACAAATGTGAGGAGACAAGTTGGGAACATGACAATGGCCACTTATGAAGGGAGTCTAGGGAGGGAGATAAGTACAAATTACCCCATTGTGAATTTCTTAATGGCGGTGGAAGCAGATTTCTTCATTGGGGCATTGGGGTCCACTTGGTGCTTCCTAATAGATGGGATGAGAAACACTGGAGGTAAAGTCATGGCTGGTTATTTGAGCGTCAACAAGGATAGATTCTGGTAGGGACTTACTTGTATTGTATAGATCGATAGCACGCATGTAAATACATATATATATATATATATATATATATATATATCTACAAAATGGGAAACCAATCATGTTTCCGTGAGAGTTATCACTTAGACCATTTGTAATATAAATGTTAATCTCAATTATATATTTAATAACAAAAAGTATAATAGGGCATGTTATTTTTATTTGTATTTGTAGTCTAATGCATAATTAATGCTATTTAAAATGTTAAATCTATTTTTTTCTATCATCATTAAGGTTTGAAAGTTGTAAAAGTAGACTTGTAATTTTAAAATAATTTTAAATTTTAAAAATTACAATGATTAAATTAAAAATAAACATTTCAACTAATAGAAATTAAATATCAAATTTGTCATATACTATATTTCGTGAAAAATTTGTCACAAAGTATAGCATGTGAGAAATTTGACAATGTGAGAAATTTGACACAACAAATAGTATTTTATTGGAGGGTGTTTTTTACCATTAATTGTTAAATTTTTAATTGACACATTAATTATAATATTGTATTGGAGATACTCCTAGTTTATGTCACGCCCCGGAGCAGGGGTCGGTGACGTAGATGCTCGATTAGGAGTTATATATATATATATAGCAGCAGTTTGTATAGGTCCAATCGTATTCTTACACGATTGAGTAAAAAATGGATCAGTGGTAAGCGTGATGGCCAACATTTTTGCTGTCCATATTAGTATATGTGGTATTCATTTCTTTTCATCCCTCGAGACATAAATGAAAATGATACTCAGTATGCAAAAAATCTTCTTTGATTTCGTCCTTTATATTTTAAGTGAGAGAGAGAGAGAGAGCATATAAAAGAAAACAAACAGATTGTCAAAAAAAGAAAAAAGGATAAAAATCAATTCAAGGCTTTGAGGGACACGTGATGGGATCCATTTCACTTCGTACCATAAATCCAACATTAATTCTAGAATTCGATGCATGAGCTTTATTGTATTTGAAGCTCTTCGATGCATGTACTCGATTTGAACAAGGGTAATTTAAAATATGCATGAATCTCTGCTAATAGGAATCAAGAAGCACAAGGCCAAGCACCTTAAGTTAGATTTTTTGCCAGTAGAATTTTTTGGTGAAATTGTTAAAGCAGCTTTGTGCTTTTCTTTTCTTTTTGGTTGCAATTTTTCTGATTGTTTTGTCGTTTATTTAATCCTATACTATTCTTGTTTTCACGGTGAAAAGCAAACTTTTCTTTTTCCAACAAACGACGAATCCGTCAATATGTGATTAGAAGGCACAATGAAACTGAAACTTGGGTATTGCATAAGTTAGAAATATTACTGTGCAAAACAAATATTTTTTATTGCAATTTTTCTGATTGTTTTGTCGTTTATTTAAACCTCTACTATTCTTGTTTTCACGGTGAAAAGCAAACTTTTCTTTTTCCAACAAACGACGAATCCGTCAATATGTGATTTAGAAGGCACAACGAAACTGAAACTTGGGTATCGCATAAGTTAGAAATATTACTGTGCAAAACAAATATTTTTGAAAGCAAAAAAAGAAAAAGGGAAACATGGAAGTGATCAAATTTGGCTGATATGGCAAGCAAAACAAAAAAAAATACCAATCACAAAAATGATAAAACTTACATACAATGATTCGTGTCGAAAGAAAAATCAGGACGCAAAATAAGCTATCAAGAAAGAGGGAGGAGCCTGTTCCTCTCAAATTTCACATCACATAATATAAAAATACAACAATTGAAGAAGATAACCTTGCTCTTCCAAATGACCAGCACTTTGATCACCTAATAATTTTCTGTAAGCCCGCCACATAACTCAGGGAAGAATAAATGGTCAGATGTGCACAAAGAATGATGAGCTTGTTACCTCCTCTTTCCGTTTGTCAGCTCTTCGAAGTGGTACGGGGACATTCAAGTTCTTTAACGCAATTCTTCTTCCACATCCTCAGTCACCTGATGCCCACCATCACCACCTCTTGCTGCCGTTTGCTTTTTATGTTTCTTGCTCTTCGCTTTCTTAGCCTTCATTCGGCGTTTCTTCTCGTTGGCATCAATCCAAGTATAGTCCAATGGAATGTGGAAAGGATCAACTTCATCCTTGAACCGGTGACTATCACTGTCGCTGGATTGCCCGCCACGACTCCCTCTCATCCATGAAATCCATGAAGAAGAGCCTTCTGATTCCTTTGACTTGGCATCCTGGAAATGTGCTGGACTTGAGAGAGGGGTTGAGAACTCCTCCATTGGCTGTAGCTCCTCGAATTTCGTAAAAGTAACAAGGACTCTTATGGTTGGGACAATCGGGATGGCGACCTACGGCAGGGAAATGCAAAACTAATGTGAGTGAAAATCAATTCACTCCAAAAATCATGTCTTTCCAATCCGTATTGTACTTTTCACATATTCAGAAAATTAACATGTCAAGTCTCCTCAACAAATAAACAGTCAACCCCTAAAACATAAATCTAGGATTGTTTTTATACATCAAACTTTTATTCGGAGAAACTTTTGTAATTGAAATTAAAACATTCAGAATGTATTGTAGAAATTGCTGAAATAAAAGATGGATTACATATTAGAATTCAATATTCCAAATTCATGTAAATGGTAGTTTTGGCCATATTCTACACTTCAGTCATAAATCAATGGCAGCTAACAATTTCTCCAACATTTGTTTTCCCACTTTTAGAATTTTCGTACGACATCATCTAAATGCAACGCTCATTCTAAAGATAAGAATGTTCTATTTGTTGCTTGGAAATTGTCAAGCATGAGCAATTGCTACATGGAGTAAAGCAACAAGGAGCAGGTAGGTGGTGTCCCTGAAAGAAAGTTGTTTTTCAACCCTAAACCCAACTGACAGACATTACCATAAAGTAAAAAAAAATAAAAAATAAAAATAGCATGGCGATAAGAACGAGAAGTTGGAACCATATAAAGCAAGAATTGTACGCGAGACACATTTTCACCAGATATTAAAAAACATAGGTAAAAAGAAACAAAGAGTAAGTGTAAAGCAATTCAAAGTCGATCAAACTGAAGAAAAATACAGAAATACGTTGAGTTACCTTAACAGGAAAAGTTCCATGTGGCAGTTTCGTAGTCAAAAGCTCCCTGAGTCTCCTAACAGCCTTCACCTTGTTAGCTAAAATGTCCAGTAAAGGCAGAAGCTCATCTGTCTTCAAAGGGAAATCAGGCGTCAACCACAACACAGGTCTTAAACCCTTTTTGTACTCACTCTCATGCTTAGTCTCTCCAGTGGGCCCCTTCTTCTTTTTCTTCTTACTGCTTTTTTCTTTTCCCTTCTTGGCATCCATTGAATCCTCCCTATATGATTCAGATGAGGGTTTTTGATGATCAATAGATTTTTGGTTGCCATTTTCCAAACCCAATTTTGAGGCCTTCTTCAAATTCTTTGGATCTTCAGAATCATCACCGTTTGCCTTGGCATTCTTTCTATTCCAACCAAACCAACTCTTCTTCTCTTTAGCACAACCATTGGACTCACCATTTTCATAAGAAGCTACAGAACCATTTTCGTGGCTGTCAAATCCGCCATGTTCATCATCCTCACAAACACCATCTGAGTTCCCCATATGAAGTGCAGAATCCAGCTGCATTCTTTCTTCAGCGGTTAATACATCATCATACTCATCATTGTCACCACCATTTGCCAGCTTGTCTTCATCATCCACGGTAAACAGCTCCTCATCAGTCATAGCACCAGGAACTCGCCTCGATTTCACACTAACCATGACATGAAGCATGTCGTAAACTTTGGCCTTCCAATTTCCAACCATCTCAGTCTTCTCCTGTCTCCTCCAGTTTACGTGGGGAACAAGCTCAGCCTGGGTAACATCAATCCCTGGCCTATACATATTTGTCTGTGACATCAAGGCTACTTCATGGGCAACTTCTTGCTCGGTCGGCTGCGAACCAGCCCCTTCCAAAGCATTAGTAATTTCCTTCTCCTTGTGAGAAAGAACAATTAAAGTACCAGGTGTCAAATTCAGATTATTATCCTCCGCAGAGTAGCCTTCTCCAAGGAACAGAAATGTTTGATCAGATCTTTGAATGCGAAAACCATCAAAACCAGCAAGGGTCATATCGGCACGGAGATTAGAACCACGCTTCCAAATGCGGTAAGTATCTGAAGGCGCAATGCGGCCAATAAAAGGAATAACTGAGCTCTCGAAATGGAAAGTTATCTCCATGTAAAAATCACGGATCCGAGCTGCAGAGGCAACAATCCGAGGAAGTCTTCTACACCATTTGGCCCAAGCAAGAGGTTGGTAGTGTCGAGCAATGATCATGGCAATTGTTTCCTCTCTTGTGCAGACCGCTTCTTGGAGAGCACTCCAACCATTCTCATTCTGAAGACTCCAATCAGCACCAGCACCCATCAATATCTCAGCCGAAATTGGGTCCCTGAGACGTACTGCAAGATGCAGAGGGGTCTCACGACCGGGAACATCGCGACGGTCAATGACAGCCGAGACAGCGTCAGCTTGAACCTCGGCCTCAAGAGATTCATCTTCGGTGTTAACCTCTCCGGCTTTGGCAAGCCGAGGAAGATTCAAGATAATGCGCCTAAGGGCGGCATAGTCCCGCCTAGCAACCGCCAAATGAGCCAGACTGTGAGCATACTTTGAAAAATCCTCCATTTGATTCTGTTCGGTCTACTTCTATTTTCTTCTCTAAGCCAAAGCCCCTTCCATTTTCTATGAAAGTCAAGATTTTGAACTCAAATTGGAAAAGACTTCACACTTCTAGGGTTTAAGACCAACAGAAACTACCAAAAATTATGAACTCCAAACTTTCCAGACCAAGAAATTACATATTATAATATTTAAGCACAAATGCAATTGAAATAATTCAGTTCAAGTCGAAATCACACCAAGAATCCTTCATGATTGCGGAAGCTTAGCTTCACCCAGTGAGACCCACTTGCACCATCCGACGCTGAGCTCCATTACCGAGTAGTTGAGCTACTAAGAACTTCAAATCTGCGAAACCCCAGAAAAGAAACAATCTTTCAGCATCCAAAACCCAAATGTAAACAAAAATCAACTGTCAAAAACGAAAACTAACAATCATCCTTTCTGTTTGGCTGCCCAGAAGGATTTTGAATTCAAATTCAAAATCCGAGTAAAAGAGTCTTTTGGATCTCAAAGGAAAAATCAAGCACCAGATTTCCCTTATCCAACTCAATTTCACAAATTGCTCTAATACCCTTAACCCCCAAAAAAAAAAACACCAAAAGTTTCAAAATTTCCAATCTTCTTCGCCACTTTCTCTCTCTTTCCAAATGGAAATAAAGAAAGAAAGTACCTGAGAATCAAAATTCAAAAAAGCAAACAAATTGGGCTTCAAAAGCTCTCTCCCTCCGATTCTTTCACAATATTTAGGTATTATCTTCGAATTTAGGTTTTCGCAGAGATAGAGAAAGGAGAAGATAAGAAGAATCGAACGGTGGATAAGGGGCTATCTGAGATGGGGATCTCAGTCTAAGGGTCAGGATCTTCCTCCTCCTCCTTCTTCTGCTTCTCTATGAGTTTATGATATTAATGTTGACAGAAGAGCTTCAAAAGGACGTTGTTGATCTCACTCGCTCCCCGACTCAGTTTTGCCCGAGTCGACTCAGATCTCCTTTCCCTTTCTCTCTCTATCTCTCTCTCTCTCTCTCTCTCTCTCTCTCTACAACTCTATCTCTGCATTTTCATTTGCAGGTACAGAACAGTCCTTTCTTTTGCTTTTCCTCTGTTGCCATTTTGGACTCAAGATTATCCAACTGCCCTCCGTTTTTCCGTATATTACTTTCATGCCATTTTTTACAGTTATTTTTTTGGCCTGTCGTGTTTGTTAATCTTCTTCTTTTTTCCTAGCTCAAAACTACCTAATTTACAACTTTTTTTTTTTTTTGGATATATTCACAACTCCCTATTAAGTAATAATAAAAGGAAAATTTTGAAAAAAGAAAAAAACAGAAAATATTTTGCATTTTACATAATTCCTTTCCTGCCATGAATTTTGATGACGCTCAGGTGAATTTTTATATTTTAGTAAAGTTTCTATAAAAAACTAATAATAAAAACTGTTTTTAATTTACTCTTAGATCCTTTTTCAGAAAAATTACGTATAATTTTTTTTTTTTTTTGGACACCGGTGTTTGAATAAAAAGGTGAATCCCACCAACTACGAATACAAGCCATACAGAATATTCCATAATTCTCACCTACTATTTCACCGAAAAAGTCTTGAAATTGTTACTCCTTAGATTTTCTACTATATATGATTGAAAGGCCAAGCATGTCGTCTTTGGGAAATAGTACTAATAACTTGTACTGGTTTATAAAAAATAAATAAATAAATAATGGAAATTATAGGCTCCACCAATAAAATGAAAAAAAAAATAAAAATAAAAATTGGTGGAGATTTTGGGCTTCTAAAAGGGCCACCTCTACACCCACCGACAGTTTGCGAAATTTCTACCTGACTTGGATGATAGAATTCCTCTCTCTCTCTCTCTCTCTCTCTCTCTCTCTCTCTCTCTCTCTGTTATTAGTTTCAGAAGCCACCTAAGCTTCACGTGAAATCTGAATGGTTTTTATGTACTTGTAATATAATTTCCCATGTGGACGATCATATACGTTATACACCCAATAGTTTCTAAATTCTAAATTAATTTGGCTAATGGTTAGTGGTTACCATCCGTAACCTCCCTTTTTTTTTTTTTGTTCTTTAAGTACATTATGAGTAACTAACATTTTTTTCACTTTTTCGTTTTCCTATAACAGAAATTAAGTAAATGGGATAATTATTTTTTTAACAATAACTTATTACTAAAGTAATTCGTGGTATGAATTACTTTAGCACGAATTACTTTAGTAATAAGGTACATAATTAATTTATATTTAGTCCATTAATTTATCAAGTCCATTAATTGATTAATGGATTAAATCTATTAAAAAAGTCCGTTAATTGATTTTCGATAACCTTCCTTAATTTATCAAGTCCATTAATTGATTAATGGATTAAATCTATTAAAAAAGTATAATAAAAAAATAAATGTATTGATTATTATTCAACAGTAAAACCATACACTCATTACTAGTGTGTTTAGTGGGAGGGAGAGATGGATGGAGGTGGAGAGAGAGAAGTAGGGGGAGAGGACAATTTCATTGTTTGGTTTGATGGATGAAAGGAGGGAGATGAGTGATAGAGGGAGAGACTCTCCTTTGGGTCCACAAAATTTGGATCCTTCCCTTAATGGAAGGATTCATCGAAGTCCTCAAACTTTTAAGTATGAGACGTTTGGTTCATAAATTAGAATTATGAGATTAGAATAATTTTTAATTTACGTGTATTTTTTGTGAGAAAAAATACTTTAGCAAATCATGAACCATGATTTAAATCATGGTATGAATCCCTTTACTAAACGTCTATGTTTATTTTACCCTCTAAAAAAATTATTACTAAAGAATAAAATAATAATATAGTAATTGAACAAACAATCATCATTCATCTATTCAATTTTTTCTCTCTTAGATCAAATAACATAAAGGATTACCACAATCCTCTTCATTCTTTATATTTTTTATCCATTTAATTCTCTTCATCATTCTTACTCTTCATCCCTCATATCAAACAGACCCTAAAACAATTCATGATTTACAGAGAAAAAGTAATTCACAGTATTATTTTCTTCTGTAACCCCATAATTTTTTAGTCAATTAATCGAGTAATTACATTCTGTTTGCCCTGTTTTGTTTTCTTGTCACAGAAGTTCAGCAACTGTAATAACTATTGTTCCACAGTAATAAAGTATACAACTTATTATTGAAGTAATTTAATACTAATAATTTCCGAAGTAATACAACTTATTACTGAAGTAACGTAAGTGTACAACTTATTACATTTTCATCATTGTAGACGAACAGACGTGTTTAAAGACTCAACTAATGTATTATATTTCTCAAATGTTACTCAAGCAACCATTTTTATACAATGTACTAGAAGTTTCAGACAATTACCTGTTTAAATACTTAAATTTGATACAATGATTGCTTCAACCGCCACACATGTGAAAACCCCAATTGTGTCTACACAAATAAGAACAAACAATTTTCCTCTTTTTCCCTCTTATACCTCTATATTTTAATTATATTAAACGCCTATATATATTTTTTTTTCTCTCTCTATAGAAAAGCTAAACCATCCCTCTCCTCATCCTCTCTCTCTCTCTCTCTCTCTCTCTCTCTCTCTTGCTTTTTCCTCCCAAGATTTGTATTTTTTTATGAGAAGTTTGTAGGCCCCAATTGAGGTCCATATGATTTCATTGCTAGTGAGGTATGCTCATATCAATCTCCTTTACGCTTCTCAACTGCTACACCTATGCTAGACCAGCCTTGGTACGGTCCCCTCTCCCATGTGGGTGTTGTTTGTGGCCAAACAAGAGTGCCTCAAAATTTTTTTATTTTTTATTTTTATTTTTATTTATTTTTTTTTGTGTTTTTTGCTTTCTTCTCAGAGCCAAAGCCCTAACTCTTGACGTGGAAACTAGGGAAGAACTTTGGCACTTAGCTTATTCATTTCTTCGGAGATGGTTCAAAAGAAAATTCTTTGATAGGTTCATTCTAGTACAAGGTCACTATCAAAATTTTGTTGCCCATCAAGATGTGATTGATGATAGCAACTCTCGTACGTTTGGTAACAAACCATAATTGCCGGTTTGTCAAAAGTACTCATATTGTAGCTTCTCTCTGTTAAGGGTCGCAATTAAAGGAGAAAATCAAGGCCTCTTTTCAGTTATTTCAGCCACATGTTTTTGGCAGAAGCCCCAGTCGTACAATGTGTTCCTGGTGGCAGATGATAAGAGTTTAAACAAATAACGAAGTACTGTTTCATTTCTCTTACATGAAAGTAAAGTTTCTGCAATTTGCAATAGAAGCATTCTTAAAGCAAATACAGCACATAAGATGACTATTTTCACCTTCTTTTTGCTTGTCTTTTTGTCAACAAATAATCCATTCTTGATTCTGTTTTATTCTTTCCAAAGTCGCAAGTTAACCAACTATAGGATAGTCGTTTCTTGGAGATCAGATATTTTTATCTTAGAAAATGGGTAAACCTTAGACCTGTGAAGTACACCACACTTAGTCATGTCAATTCGATCATTGAGTGCGCAAACACACACACACACACATATATATATATATATATATATATATATATTAGGGGGACTAGAAAAGTGGGTGAACAATTTTTGTTGGTGGGATATTAAATGCATGAAAGAAATTTAGGACCAAAGAAATGACAAGAAGGAAAAGGACAAATGGGATATGACTCGCATGCAAATCCACAGAAACATACTGCCTGGAGCCGCACTTATTAAGAGCGATAAGACATTCAGCCATCACATTAGTATCGTCCGAAGGTGGCAATGCAACAAACCACAGTTAACATGTTTAGGCTGCGTTGGAAAATAAACCTAAAGAGGAACATTACCAGTGTAAATCTCTGTCTAGTTTTTTTTTTTTATTATTATTTTATTATTTTTTTATATAGTAGATACACGGAAACAAAAGACAATAACCCAAGGGAAATCGACCACAAGGCCTTCGAGAGAAAGTAACATCATGGACTCCGCTAAGTGAAGCTATCCAAGTAATTGCTGACTGCAACTCGGAACTTAAATACCACAAATGCACCGTCAGTAATGCTTGTTATTTGTTCGCGTGTGTCATAAAAAAAAAAAATGGGTCGCCGTTGAGGAGAGTTCCACGGGGGCGAGGAGTGAGCTATTTGTCTAGTTGTGCAATGATAAAAATATTCTCGAACTATTTCTCTTGTTAGTTTACCTACTAACTAATGATTCGTGGGAGTCGGCCGCTAAGCAAAGCTTGTCAACAATTTTGTGACCTTCCTTCTCAATTAGTAAAAAATAAAAAATAAAAAATAATTATGTTGCTCCACAAGACATAAATTATCATAATAACACAAAAAAAAGAAAAAGTGGTTAACCCGTTTTTGTCTCAAGTACTAGAAGTGCCTGATTCCCCAGACCCCAATTAAAATAAAGGGTACGACCATCGCAATGAGAGGGAAAAGAGAAGAAAAAGAAAAAAGAGCTGATAAATAAGGACCATATCTAGTTGACGTTTCATTCCCCATAAGCAATTGGGGAAGTGTAAAGCGAATTTATCACCAATAACAGGATGAAGTTTAAGTATTTTTGCATAGAGACTATTAGCTAGATTTGATCTTACCCCTTTTTGAAACGAAGTTATGGACACTTACTGAAGCCTTCCCCAATCATTCCTGAATCCGTTGCGCCAAATCATTAAGAAGGGTGGGATCAAGACAGAGATGGTGTTCTTCAAAAGATTTTCAAATCTTAAATTACCCTCCACTTCCTAAAGCTCGTGATTTTGTTCCAGAAAATAGATACTTCAAGATAAAGCAGTCATACTCAAAGTTTCCGGGTCAATAGTTCACAAGTTATTATATCATCTATGGCTGTGGCAGAACTCCCAGCACCGACGACAGGAACGAGGTTAAAGATGGGCTCATGGCCAATATTAAATGTCTGATCCATTGCAGCAAGTTCAGTGAATGCATTGGTGAACAAGAGCGACAGCGACTCCAACGGCACTCCAAGACTTGCAGGAAAATATAGTCTTAAATACTGCCGACATGAAAAGATAAATTATGTAAGAACAACATTGATGGGGGAAAAGGAGAAGACAAAGAAGGAAAAGAAATTAAAAAGAAGACACCAAGAGCAAAGATGCCATTAAGAGAAGAACAAGACTGTATTATTACTAAGCATAATAAAAAATGATAATCCACCGAAGAATCATGATATTCAACAATGTAATAAAAACCTTAAATCCAAAAAGAAAACTAGTTAAAATAAAATAGGCCAAATTCGATAAGTGATCAAAAGCATATGCGGAATAAAATTTCTCAAAAAGACTATCAAAAATCTGAGAGATTTTTCAAGTGAAATAAAGCAAGTGAAGTTTCATTTTCTCACATGAAATTCTTTTAGGCTTAGGCCCAAGGTTCAAGGCAATTGCTAAACCCGAATGACATAAAGATGGGCTACTAATGACATCAATAGTAAATGAAAGATTAATCAGACAATGGATTTCCATTCGATCAGATGAATCAGCTTTGATGGGCATTAAAGCAGACCTACCATTGTATCATACCAAGAGAAACCGTTTTCCATGATAACTTTTCCAAGAAGATAAATACAAAACCTTGATACTTCTTTCATTTGCCCCTCAGTGAAAAAATTTGGATGGCCTTTGCTCTGTTCAGCACCTAAAGAGTCGGAACAGATCTTCGTTGCAAGTTCACTTGTAATAGACAAAATCACTGCACATAACTCTCCACGAATGACGCATCTTTTAACGCAATGGTCATGCCAATTTGCTTGTTGAAAACCCCAATTAGGGGTCCTTATACAAGACGGGTCTTGCATAGTTTCTTTTGTTGCTTCAATATCCTCCGGAACAAAGAGAATGGGCTTAATTTCCACAAGTGCTCTGCAATACCAAAAAGCCAAGGGCACATGAAGCTAACTTTGTCCAAACTTTTCCAAAACGGCGTTATTTCAATCAATTTGAGAACCCTAAAATCACCTAGTACACTAAAGGTCTTGAATTCATTGGACATGCAACCTAAGCAAGTATTCTTTCACTTCATAGCAAATCATTAAACACGCCAAGAACTAATAGATTAGATTAAATCAAATAAATATTTTTCCTTTCTTTTGCTTTTTGTTCAAATTTCTAAATGCAGATGTGCAAGCATTCATCAAGCAATGATCCCTCAGGTGTGATCGGGAGCCTAATGAAGAAGCAAAGCAGATAGAGATTCAATACAATTGCATAAACATGATGAGAAAGGGGAGAAAAGAGATTTGTAGAAATGTACCCTTTCGGCAAGCCAGGGACAAGGACATAAAGAAAAATGGGATTGAGAGCCTCAGACATGCTTTCTTTATGGAAATGAGAAACCTTTATTTGCTTAAGGAATACATCTAGCTTTTCTTGAATATGGAATCTCTCAGATGGAGGAGTAAGTGTCGAACAGTAAATGACAAATATAATAGTGGAAGCAGATATTGAACACTTGAAGCATTTTGCCACTGCTTCACTGTTTTCTAGTGCCTTCTCCAACTCGGCAGCAACACCTCCTTCATGTAGGGCCATTGTGGGAGGGTCAAGCCCCAACTGCCCAGCCATGTGAAGTATGTTCTTGTCTAAAGTTGCCTACAAGCAAACAAGTAAACAGAATCAGAGAGCAGGAATAAAAAAAAAGCAGGAATGTGTGTGTGTGTGTGTGTGTGTGTGTGTGTGTGTGTGTGTGTGTGTGTGTAGAGAGAGAGAGAGAGAGAATCAAACAATTGACCAAATAGTAATAACGAACACTACTTATCCCGATTAACAAATTATTAGTGACGAAGATGTAATTTATACCTGACTATATGGTCCAATGCAACTAGGCGCCCAAGATGAAATACTTTGTACATGTAGAACTCTTTTGGTATGGTCATTTGCCACTAAAACTTCAACATATGCACTACCCAAACCCACTTGCAATAAAGGCAACTCAACCGTACTACGGGAGGGAACACCAAAGGGACACTTCTCCTGTTTTATAAACTTCACGTATGTTTCATTTGCTGTAGCAAACTCCTTCATATCAGCAATATACAGATGAATATAAAGGACATTCTCCCAGCCAAAACCATAAGCCCCAAGACGTGTTTCAATTTTTCTTAGGACAGCCGTAAGCTCTTCTTGCAAACCTACCAAATAAAACAGAAGACAGAAAACATACTAAGATAAGTTAAAGCACAATGCGTAAGAAATGAATTTTTTGAAAGGAAATATACCTGTGGGAAGGAATACTACGAACTAAACATTATTTCTATTGACTACCTGACGAACGTTTGTGTGAATCTTGCAACCAGCAAGAAATAGAAAATGTATCATCCTTTTGTGTTTTTGAAATGTGAAGCTTATTTTCTGCAATTTCAATTAAATCAGTGACTTCAACAGCAGACTGGGATGTTGTATCACGTGTTTGTGAGCAATCTCCTTGCACTTCAAACACTGAACCAATATTCTCCGGACTGAACTCTTCAGTCTTGTCACTGCCTGGCAAAGAACAATGCGCTTTCTTCCTTTCAACATGAAAAGCCAAGGGATGAAGTACCCCAGCTGGGGCTATGGAATCTGAAGAGTGAAGAACAACTTGAAACTCGTCAAGCATGATTCGAGCATTCTGTGGCCACAAACAGTAGAGTTAAGGGAAGAAAAAGTAGTCACCATAACCTTTGTAAAGAAAAAATATATCCTCTAACCTAAATCATAGTCAGTGTAAATATAAAAGATCTAAGAACATTCCCTCTACTCCCAACTATCATTACCCAAAAGTGTCGCAACTTCAAGCATAAATGCCATTATCAAATAGTATCATAACTAACTCCATACCCTTTCTTTCCATGGCCCACTAGAAAGCAGTGGATAAACTTCTTCAGCTAAAACGAAAAGGAAGGTATAAACTCACAACAAAAAGAGGGCAATCAAGCGTTAATGTTTCATACTCCCCTCCTTCACCACATACATTTATTCCATACAACCTGCCAAGGATTGACAATCAACAAACCAATTACACTATATGCTTGAAGTACAACAAGCAAGCAAGAAAGAAAGAAGAAAAAAAAAAAAAAAAAGAAAAAAAAAAAAAAAGAAGACGACAAAGAAGAAGAAGTTGACCTACTCTTTCAACTTATGCAGATAGGAGTGCAGGGAGGATATTTCTTTGCCCAAGTGTTTCGCAGGGTCCAAACCCATTGCAGCAACCTATAACATTGAGAGAGAGCAAGAGAGAGTAAAAATAACATATCAACCACTATGTCTATGTTGTTTCCTGTAAAAAAGTGTATCCACGTAATGTAATAACAGAACTCTTCTCTTTGAAGAGGAAAGATGGGAAAAAATAACAAATAAAAAGTAAAAAAAAAAAAGTAAAGTACAATAAAAGGGAGAAAACTAAACAACAAGTTAAAACGCAAATTATACCTTTACAGTAATAGCCGAAATCCCATTTTCTATCTGATAAGAGTGGAAAAGAGAAGTGTCGCATGAGAAGTACAATTTCAATATTAATTGCCTATGTTGCTACACTAAAATATTTGAACTCAAAAGTACTTGATTTTTTGGTAAATAACCTCCTCATCAGAAGTACAATTTCAATATTAATTGACTACGTTGCTACGCTAAAATTCAAATTACCATTTCCTGAAGGAGCAATGACTGATCTTGTTTCCACAAATATGCTAGAGAAACAAGCCCTAACCTTGAACAAACACTTTCCACTCGAAGCCTCTGATAATCAGATGCAATAGCACCGGAAGATACTGCTGCAACAGAGGGTATCTGTCTTTTCACCTCATTTAGCAATATGAACATGTCTTCAACTTCATCACCAGGAGTCGTTCTATAGCTAAGCCTCTGATGCCTAAATTATAAGCAAAAACCAATAGAAAATGAAGAAAAATTATTTCTAAGGAACACAATTCGTTCATTACAGCTTTCTTTTTCTCTCTTCAACAGCAAGTAATATCAAATATGAACAAAATTCAACCTATCCCATGCACCCAAATCTTATGCCGAAACGCACTATAAGCAAACTCACAGGAATAGCGTAAAAGAAGAATCTTTGTTCGAGCCAGTTTAGAAATACTAAGAATGGATTTGTTTTACCATCACAAAGCAGTTTTCTAGTAACTCCCCAAAATCAAGAATAATTTTACCAAAAGTTCCTGCTAGAAATGCTTGCCTGGTGGATCCTTGTATCCGCCTCCTGAACAGCGGCAGTCCCATGCATTCCGCATAGCTGACAATTATCTGGTGCCCAACCTGAAGAAAGCAATCAATAGTCTAAAACAATTAAAAAAAAAGTCAATCATGTAATCAAAACGTGTATACATTTGATCATTAAACAAACTTTTCAGACAATAATTGGAAAAAGGAACCGAAGGGGAAAAGACTAATAGCAAATGGAAATAACACATTCGCGTATACAAGTTTGAGACATACGTTAGAGAGAGAGAGAGAGAGAGAATTACAGTTTGATACATGTAGCTATCGAGCTCGTCCACTGAATCATCAGCTGGCATCAAATTCGCCAATGCAACAATCTATCGAATAGCAAACATAAGTTATTCTTCAAGCAAAGGGGAAAATCCAACGTTTTTCTTTTTCAATACGACATTTGTGCTCAACTTTCTTGCGTTTTCTGAGCAACCAAATAGGCAAAAAAAAAAAAAAAAAAAAAAAAAAAAAAAAAAACTCTCAGAAGTCCAAAACATCTATTCACATTAACGTTGGTGTGATTCCGTCCAAGAACATAATGATGATTTAAAAAAAAAAAAAAAAACAAACAAACAAAAAAAACAAAAACAAAAACAAAACAAAAAGTTGAAGTTTCTTGGATATTTAAGAATTTTCGCGGGAACCAAACGAGAATAGTAAAGAGAGAAGACCTCGTGACCGTATTGAATGCACTTCATCATGGCGTAACAGCTGTCTTTGCCGCCGCTGACTAAGGCCACCACCTTCATCACTGCGTTTCGACTCCTGAAAATCTCAACCACAAAAAAATAAAAAACTATGCTCTGCGCCAAAAACCCGGTAAAAATTAGGGCTTTAAAACTCTCTCTCTTTCTCTTTCTCTCCGATGGTCAGTTTGCGACAACCGAGAAGTAGCAGACCTCTGTGTATGTATGAATCCACGGGAATAAATACTTTTTCAACCTAAACGTGTCAATTATTATTAAATTAAAATACACAAATTTTTACGAAAACAATTTATTTTCTCCTCAAAAAAAATTCTTGTGTCAATATGTCTCTTAAATTTTAAAATATACATGTTATGTTATGTCTTCTGAATTTTGTCATTTATGTCAACTTATTCATAAAGTTAAGTACGTTAAATTTTTTAACAGAAATACTTATAAATGCCCCTAAACTTTGTCACTTGTGTTAATATGTCCTCAAAACTTTAAAATGTACTTGTTTTGCCCTCTGAATTATATTATGTCTCTAACTTTTTTCCCTCTATCTTAATTTTATCAGTTTTTAAACGAAAATATTGATATGACCATTAAATTACTAATTATCTATGATATTCGATGTTTATTGGATACCTTATCCTTTAAAAATGTTAGTTAATCATCAATTCTCAAAAGATTAGTTTATTAGAGGCAATAAAAAAAGAAAAAAAAAGGGGTAAATCTGTATAATGTAATGAATTTTGTTCGTTTTTTAAAAATTATTTCACATAGATAGAAGTGCTCGACATAAAATATATTTATGCTTTATACATATATAGCATTTCTAAATTTAAATGCATTCAGGTCATTTATATTGTACCTTTTTTAAAAAAAATCAACACAAACCTTAAGAAACCCATTAACTTAACAAACTTTAATGATTAAATATCATAGATAATTAACAATTTAATGGTCATATCAACCTTTTCGTTTAAAAAATTAATAAAATCAAAATGAATAGAGAAAAGTTAAAGACACATCATAATTCAACAGGTAAAACGGGTACATTTTAAAATTTAAGGGCATATTGATATAATTGACAAAGTTCATGAAGTGTTTATAAGCATTTCTGTTAAAAAATTTAATGGAGTTAACCTTAAAGGCATGTTGACACAAGTGATAAAGTTCAAGAGGCATAACATACACATTTTTAAATTTAAAAGATATGTTAACACAAATAACAAAATTCAAGAAAAATTTATAAAATTTATCCTCTTTCTTTTTTCTTTTTTTGTTTTTGCCAATTTTTAGACTAGGAGAGGCTTTTTCACCCTATTAGTGGGTAATGTATATAGTTTTAAAAAAATAGAACTGTTAAATTAACTTTTTAATAGTCCAATCCACGAGCTTCCATGATAACAATTTAAAACGCGGAACACACCGTTGAGAAGTTAACCCAAGGGTATCAAACGGTTCCTAAAAATGCCTTCCTATGATAGGGAACCGAAGTACTGTGTTTTTTCCTTCAATAAAATTTTGCGATAGGTTTTTTGTTGTTTTTTTTTTTTTTGGCTCGGAAAATTTAGTGATATGTTTGTTCGGTGTTGTTATCACTTACCATGAAGGAAAAACATGGAAAACGTACACAAGAACCGAACACATAACTATTAAACATCGAAAATCAATTGAGAATGACCAAAGACCGATTCAAAATTCCTAGACACAAGAAACATACTGAAACCACCAAATAGCTCTTTTTTAAACGAAAGGTGTCTAAAGAACCAAGCACTAGCTAAAAGAATTTTTTTTTTTTTTTTTGTGCAGGAGAAAAAAGAAGAGGAAAAAACTAACATAGCTGATAACTTACAACTGGAGGTTAAATATTGTTGGGGGGGAACTAGAAGAAGGGGTGAGAGGGAGGAATTGAGTGTTCTTAAATACTTTAATCTTGGCTCTGTTTAATCACCTCTCAGCAGACAGCTAGTCCTCCTGCAACTCGTATGATGCAACGGCGGCATCCACCGTAACCGATAATAATGTGTGGATGAATGCACATGAAGATCTGAATATTATTACTGCTGGCACATGACACCTCCCATACTGCCAACCTCAGAGTTCCCGTTTGAATAGGGTTGTAGTTGTCTACACTTCCAACGGCTGATCCTATGAGTTGACAGCAGTTCCTTTCTCGGATGGCCAGTTCAAAGATGAATTAAGAAATTTTAGTCAGAACTTAGAACCTGCAAGATTGCAAGACCAATATAAATCAAAGCGAGTTCAAGAGAAGAGAACATGTCCAGGAGAAGAACTTTGCTCATTGCATATGAATTTTGAGTTTACAGGGTTCTTAGCATTGGCATCTCAGTAGCATTGGCATCTCATTGGCATCTCAGGAGAAGAACTTTGCTCATTGCATATGAATTTTGAGTTTACAGGGTTCTTAGCATTGGCATCTCAGTATGCATCACAAGAATGAAATTAAATCTATAATCTGTAACATACATAAAAGAGCCAAACTCTCTTTCCATCTTTCCTCTCCATTTTTCACTTGTCATCTCCCACTTTTTTTCTGTTTTTTATTTCATTTCTTCTAAATATTCTTTTGTTTTTGCTTGTTTCTTTTAAAAACTCTTCTAAAATTTATCTGCTACAGAGTGTTTTCTTTTTTTTTTTTTTGAATATTTTTTTCTCGTTTTACTCCTATTAAAATAATTTCTTTCAAATTTGTGCTTACTCAATTTTTTTTTTCATTTTTATTAAAATCACCTTTACATTGTTATTATTTTCCTAGCAAAACTTATAGACAAATGCTCTTTCTCCTAAAAATGCCATGTGGCAGCCCATCTCCCTTCCTTTTTTTACCTTTTTACATTTTTAACCTTTTTTCATTTTTTAAATATTTTATTTTGTTTTTTATATTTTTTATTTTTGTGAATGTTTTTTTGTAGTTTAATTTTTCGTACGTGGAATATTTCACACGTGCCTCAACTAGTAAATAAAAAAATACAGCATGTGTATGAATGCATGCACCAAAAGTTCATGATCTTGTTTCAGGACAAAATAAACTACTACTATTCCCCTAATGAAAAATCTTTATCAATGCGGAGTACTTTAATGAATTTTTTAGCATCTGCGGATATGATAATTATCTTGTTCTCAGTGCTCTCATCACATGATTTGCGCCGAGGAACAAATAAATACCATTCAGATTGCTTTATATGAACTATATCAGTTAGAAAGACTGATAATTATCTTGTTCTCAGTGCACTTATCACATGATTTGCGCTGAGGAACAAATAAATACCATTCAGATTGCTTTACATGAACTATATCAGTTAGAAAGACTCTCAAGCACTTGTGCCCGATCAGAGACCATGCCATTACTTATAACAATTAAAAGAAAAATCTTGGTAACGGCTGTAAGCAGCTTACTTTTTAATGAACTCAGAAGGGAGCCTCAAGTGATTCGTCCCAAACTTCAGCGCTTCCGTTGGAGGCATCTTCAACATCTTCTTCCATAGAAAGTCTAATATATTCTCTATGTGCAAACCGATCCCACTCTGTCAAGGTTGGATTTTCACGTTCCTGTTCATACCACATCACCATCAAGCCCAATACCAACAATGGGAATGAACTGGTTCTATAAGATGTATCAAGTTTAATTCGGTGTCTCATGTACCTGGCGGATAAGAAATGGATCACGAGTTTCAAAGGCCATAAACTTATTGAGATTGAAGAGAATATTGAATACACTTCCTGAAAGTTTACAGCCTTTCAAGTCACGGAGGGTAATATAGTTCTCGTTCTGCATGAAAATAACTCGATGTCAAACCACAATGAAACGATATCAACTAACAATGTTCAGAGAAAGAATTATTAAGAGTTGGCTAGTGATGATCCACTGACATCCTCAAAAAACACTCCTACCATCTACTATGCCCAGTCAATAACTACTTTAAACAGCTTCTCGCACATGCATGTTCCTCAATGAAAGGATAAAACACACCCTAAATTCACTCTCATACAATGTCCTTGAAAATAGAAAATCATTTACCAGACCTTTTTATGCCAGCAGCATAAATCAATCGCTTAAGAAAGGAGCAACAACGAAAAGTCCAGAAAATAAAAATGACACTAATAAGTGTTTTACTTAATAAAAACAAAACAAGTTTCCACCAATGCCATCAACGATTCAAAATTAAAAAAAAAAAATGAAAAATCAAGAAAATCGCAAAGGTACAGAATGTAAAACCTCTGGTCCAATCATGTCAATTATCTGGCATAATATATCCTCAAAAAGAACAGGCTCCTGAGCCATGCATTCCATTCGATGCAACTGCTCCTCATAAAAGAATTGCAGTTCATTTCGTGTTATAATTCCATTTCCATCCAAATCTATGCACTTGAACCTACAAGTCAAAGTCTGTCAGAAAACTATGCACTAACTAACGAATTATGGTAAGGTGAACTCCCTAAAGAGAAAGAAGATTTCTCGTTTAAGGCACACATTATTGATAAACATTCATTGCATTCGTGTCAACTGCTCAGATAAGCAGATCGACACAATCTATAGAAGGAATTTAACATTAACGAGAACAGATGAGACAAACATATACATACCAATACTCAAGACTGGGCTCAGACGATTTATCCTCCTCTGAGAGTATGAAGTAAACAAAATCTTCATATCCCATTTTTCCTTCAACTCTACTAGTAAACTTTCTTGGGATCTGACCAAAAAAAAAACCAATGAAAGTGGTAAATCAGTCTAATATGTAAATTAACGCAATTAAAGAGAACTCTGAAAGTATTTAATGAACAATAACTTTTGATTTTGTAGACAGCAGGTAATTTGGTCTACACTACAGAACAATAGAAATATGGATTGCACAAACCTGAGTGAATATTCTATCAACAATCCGATATGTAAGTGCATGGTTACCATATCTGATGAGATTCTCCTTGTCGATCAAGAAATCATGGTCCGCATCCAGCTCCCAAAATTTGCAGTATATAACATAAAAATGTTCATACGAGAAGTACCTATGGCAAAATAGTGTAAAGAAAAAAGATTTAAAAATCTAAGAAGATTAGTACCTGACATTTTGAGGAAGCATGCAGAAAAATCTATTCCTAGCCAAATGGAAAGTACTTGTACATTCTATATGAAACAGAATTCGTATGTTACGTGACCATGGGACAACAACTAGGACAAGATTTGATCCAGGATGCCTACCTCAAAACTTTGTTGATGTCCTCTTCTTCATCTGCATGTTGCATTGCATCAATCAAGTTTCCACGTTTCAACTCCCTGAGGGTAAGATGACCATTCCCAGCTCTATTTATGTAGTAAAATATCCTGTATATTACAGTTTCAGCTGGCCCATTGCAATAACATTCCATGAGTTAAAAATGCATCGCCAACAGGGGGGGGGAATTGTATCCATAAGAACAACAACAATGTAATTAGCATTATAAACACGACCGACACAATATCTCTTGAGTTAAACATTGTGATCACGAGAAAGAATTCAACTAAAGTATGATGATTGATTACGAGAAACGACACATGGAAAAGGACAGAGTTGTTTTGATACAAAAACTGAATTTTATGGAAAGGAGAAAAGAGGAAACTACAAATAAGATGACGAGATATACAAGAGAAAAAATTAATAATAATAAGAATCCGTTAGGCACTTAGGCCTGCTATTCGTTTCACATATGCAGAGCGAAATAAGAGTGTAGCAGATCAGTTAGTTAGTTGTGTATGGTCGGTTGGGGAATTATGAGTTATTTAGGCAAGTTGTAAGAGAAGGGGGAGCATTAATACAAAAATTAGAGGGTTTGCTGGCAGAGAACTCGTTGGTAATTCTGAGTTTAGCTCAGCTGGGGAGAGTTGAAAAGTCTCTCAAATATTGTCTCTTTTGAACAAACTTTAGCACAGTAATCAATAAAGTCGATTCATTCTTCCACTTTCTTTCTCTCATTTGATCTAGAATGCCTTAGCAGATCTAGTGTACTACCAGAATCCCCAGATTGGAAAATTATGAATCTCAAAAGTTAAGAGAATGAAGAGAATTTCTCCACGATTAGTGCCCGTGTTATGGAAGAGGAAACCTAATGTGATGTACTTGATGCACATGTCCGATCATTTGATAAAAGTAATAGGTCGTGAAAAACAGTATAAACTCTGTCAATAAGTAGAGAACGAACCATATCTTTCCTGAAACTCAGGTGTGCTCTGTAGGAACTCTAACCCTGGATGAGTTGCCAAAAGTTCTCGAAGCACAGGCTTAAAGTCCTCCTGTTGTCAGATCAAGGCAGAGCAGCATGAATTATGGTAATAGTTTAAGGGAGATCAAAAGTTGCTAATGAACAAAGTTCTTCAGTTCTCATCAAAATTTTTAATTCTAAATAACAATAATTTACTGGCTTCCATATCTCTAGAGATAGTAGGCTACAGTTGCACACTGGATACAGAAATACAGATAGAGAAACAGAAATATAAAATGGAAAAAGAAGAAACCTGAGTGAGGTACTTGAGATCAGGTTGCTTTAGAATAGTATATATCTGGGTAGCAATGTCCATAGTCAACATATTTCCGTTGATCCAATAATCAACAAACGCATCTCTATCAAAAAGTTACTTAGAACATAAGAAGAGAGTCATAGAAAAACAAAATAAACGTGCAAACTTATGAAAACCAACATTTAAATGTCCACTGCAAAGACTCATACGACGAAACACTTTAAAATCACTTATGCTTGATTTTCATCAATAACAAGTGGGAAAAAAAAATTAAAATTACTTTCACCAAACATTCACAAAAATTGCAAATACCTTGTTACAAAACCAGTGTTGCTAGCATCAATCTTTTTGAAAAGAGCTGTGGAGAAGAATGATGGCAGCTTGCAAACTTCCTTTGTAACAGATTTAAATTCTGAGATCCCAGGTAGAAAATTAATAACTCAGTTATCCGACTGTTACATATACTCATGTATCAATAAATGAATCTCACCATTTATCTGCAGCCCGTCCAAGTGGCCATAGAAAAACTGATTAATTTTATACAGACATTGTTCTTTTAGTTCATTTGTGACAGGACGCCCATTTTGAAAGTAAAACTGCAAGCAATGCAAGGGCACATGTTGGAAGTGAGCACATGACGTGTTCAATAACTAATTTAGTGATCGTACACCAAAAGAAAAGAAAAAAGAGGACAAAAAAGAACTAAAAGGAAAAAGTAGCAAATAATGCCACCTGATGATAGGAAAAATATAAGAGTTCTTCTCAAACCTGAGGTATCAATTCTTTAACTGGCTCACTAACTAGTTTCAGGGGAGAACCTAAATTAGAAGGGCCAGCCCTATGTTTCATTATGCGAGGGGAGCCAGATGTACTCCTTGGTGATAGGGGAGGTGCACTGCCCGCGGGAAACATGGAAGGCAAAGAATTGCCCGAAATGGCATGCGGACTAGACGAGTTTCCAGGGACATTCAAGGGACCGCCTGCTTTAGCATCGTTAATCAGCGACGTTACCTGCATTCAAAAATTTCGGAAACAGGACAAAATTAGAATATGCATCAGACATTAGCCTTGTAAAAAGAAGATATAAAATAAACATGCACTTGCAGGCAATTAATTAGCATTTCCAGCTTACAAGTCCAAGATGGCAAGTACATTAAGATCTTGTCAGGAAGAGTCTGAATTCAAAAACTATATAACAAATATCACAAAACAAATAAACTTCGTTTTCCTTTAGATGTCAAAGGGCAATTACAATTAATGTTTCATGTGTTAAAAACCTTATAAATAGAAGGAGAACAATTATCAAATAAGAGGTCTCTTCACCACAGGTGTCTGGAAAATTTTACCATCATAATGATTTCCCTCCTCTTTCGTGTTGGTAAGTGTTCTTCCTATATTAAAAAGCTTAACAAACCATCACTGAATTATCAATAATCACCAGAATTGCTTCTGAATTAATTGCATCATATCGAGGATAAATAACTTAAAATAAAAATTAAAGGATATACCCACAACGCCATATTCTCCTGATCATTAGGCTATTGAGAAACATTTCCATGAATAAGAACACAGATTCATCTCCAAGTTCAACACGCATAATCGCAATCAAATTCAGCAATCAAAGGGAAAATAGAAAAAGAAAACATAGCAATTCAGAAACCAGAACAATGCACCCGAAAGATTGGTTAAACTAAAAGAGTCATGACCAAGAAAACGCAAAACACTATAAATATTGATTTGCAAAGCGATGGGAGTAACTGGTACCAGCCGATTGCTGTCGGGAAGCGAAAGCCAATGCTCGAACAGCGTCTCGACGAAACTCGGATTCGATTTGAGCGCCAAAGGAGAAACCTCCGAAAGCTGAAACAACTCGGCGTCGAACGACGCCGCATCGCCCACGATTTCCATGCTCATCGAAACACATATACAGATCACCGAACCCTAGATTCAAAATCCGAAGCTGAGAGCGTTCACTCCAATGCCCAACCTAATTTATCAATACTTGTGAGTTTCGAAGAAGTGGAAGAAACCCTAGATCTTTGAGGGGCTTGAAAAGTCGCTTTGTTTCCTTATGGATTGAGGAAGGTGGATGTAATTGGGGAGAGAAACGGAGGGAAAATGAGCAGGAAAATTTCTTCTGAGATCGATGCAATTTCTGAGCGAATGAACTGCCGAATTGAAGAGAGAGAGATAAAAAGACAGATCTGTAAATTGACACATGAAATTGTGCAAATTTTTGGTCTCAAGTGGACACGTGTCTGTGTAATTTGTGAATTGCAAATTACAATTAGCCGCCAGTAAAAGCAAGATAAATTATTGGCCATTCATTTAGGGCAATGGTAATTTCATATACAAAAGTTCAAATTTCTCTATACTTAAATGGCTTTGAAAAAAAAATAATAAAGTAATGCCCGAGCTTAAACTAAATTCCATTCTTTAGCCTTTCTCATTTTAAAAGGTTAACTTATCAGGAGAAATAGTTTAATCTCTTTTAAACTTATTCATAATTATGTGTTTAGTCAACATGTGATTTATTTCGTACATTCGTCAACAATCCCTCCCTCAAACAAAATCCACATTCATCATAGCCCCTTCCAACTATGATCCATTTGTCTATCTTTCTTGACCTTGCCTACTACAAAACATGACTTGTTTATGCATATTGACACAAATATGACCTTTTTTTTACGGTTTAATTTCGAGTTGACGATAAATTAATCATTAACTTATTTGTGTTGTTTTCTTAAAAAAGATTTTAATTTCATTTGGAATTGACTCAGAGAGGTTTGTGAGCTCGAGCTGGAATAAGACGGTGAAGCTTTCCTTACTCTTAGCTAGTTTGGCTCATGTCAGTCAGTGGGTGAAAGGTGTGCTTCGCATTTAAGTGCTATCCGGAACCTACCTTGATTTATTCTTACTTGGATTTATTCTTACTTGTTTCTTGGATAAAAAAAGACATTATTTGGTTGGATTTATTTTCATCCTAGATTTTATCTCTTGATACTTTCTTTCTTCTCAAAAAATAAAAAATAAAAATCTCTCCCTCAAACTAAGTGCATCATCATCGCGTTGCCCCTCAAAACTGTCTACCTTCCTCGACCATGCCAACCGGAATATCACAACTTCATCAAGATTTTCATCGCATAAACACACCGCGTTGCCATAATTTTTCAACACGAATTTTTCCATCGTTGCAATTCAAGTTGGAGCGCTTCAAACTTCATATGATTTTTCTTTTTAATAAATTTTTTAGAGAAAAAAGTACGTTTAGGAACAAAGTATGTACCCGTTTTAAAATTTATCTTATGATTATAGACAAAAATCGACACAAAAAGCACTTTGAAGGTATTTTATTTATATATAGAAGTGTCCTGATTAGATTTGAAAAATAGGGAGACACTTCCAAAAGAGAAGTAAATAATAACAAACGACACGTCATTTCTTTATAGAAAACGACATGCTGTTTTTGGCTAGTACGACAACAAACAATATCGTACTGTCGTGATATATATTCTGTTGACTAAGATCTGTCTCCTTGGTTCTTTTGCTTCCTTTCCCAAATTCCCGTGTTAATTATTTCCCCTCAATCATTTTGCTTCTCAACCTCAAAATCTCAAGCCAACTCCTTCACAAAAATCTCGTCTATCTATTTGCAACCTTAAAGTGTGCGCGCACACACACACACCCATATATATATATTGTCTGGTTTTCTTTGTATTTTCTCGGCATCCAAACGAGAAAAGAAAGTTTGGCGTCATCATCAGCTTGTGTCGAGATTAAATAACATGAACGGACAAGACTCACCTTCTGAGGAAGTAAAGGCTCTCCATCTCTTAGATGAATTGGAGCGTATTTTAGAATCCGATCCTCTCATGTAAGCTCTCGACGAACAACAAACAAATTCGTTGTTTGTATATACCCATGTCTTTATTTATACGTAATTTGCGAGTGATTTTTTTTCCTATATGACATTGCATGCGCATTGTTCGATGAAATGCCAAGGAGAATCCTCTTTACTTAATTAATTGCCGGAGTGATATAAACACACAAAACTAACCACACGTGTACTCTACTCCTTAACTAACTCAGTACAAGCAGACTATTAGGGCCTGTTTATTTTTTAGATGTGATTTTATTGGAGAGTTTTTTATTATAATAAAAGGGTTAGATGTGACTATTTCTTTGAGTTTTTAACTATAGTGAAACTTAAATTCTAAACTCAAATCGGTGAAACTTAAATTCTAAACTCAAATAGGTGAGATGAATGAAGACTTAGTAAATTAATTACTGTTTATTAGCAACAACTCAAGAATAACACTGATGTTGTTACGTCATTCTCATTGTCTCATCTAGAGATGAAGTGGGGTTTATTCATCCGTCCCAATTCGTTGCGCTGAGTGAAGAGGCGAGTTCATCCGCAGATTATGAAACTTCGAGCTCTGGAGTGTTATCAAATGTCAATGCTTGTTTTTGGAATAAGGATCACAAACTGGGAATTTCGACGGTCGCTCTTCTTCCGCTGTACCGGGCAGCTAAAAGTGCGTTCATGGCTGCAATTAAACAGTACAAGGCGCTTAGCAACTCTTCTTCCCATGATGGTATTGAAAGCGAAGTTAGGACGCATAGCAGGGCTCTCTTGTTGCTAAGCTGCGATTTTGGTACTGCGTGGCATTCCAGGTTTTCTTTATTTTCCTGTTTGGTGTTGTTGTTGTCGTTGTCTTTTTATTTTTTTATTTTGTTTTAACTGCCTTATTCAATTTGGTTTAGTTCTAACGGCACTGGAACAACTTGCCTAAACATAGTAAAAACCATCTTTAAATACGTGCAAAAGTGCGGTTTTTCTAGAAGTTTAATGAAGTCCAATCAACTTTGCTTTGTGTATATCGTGATTCATGAAAGATACTCGTTTCGTGTAAATCCATGCAGGAAACTAGTTGCCTTGAAGAAGCATCCGCTTTCTATGTATATGGATGAACTTCACTTGTCAGCACTTGTTCTTTCGTATGCACCTAAATGTGAAAACGCTTGGAGCCATAGGTAATGCTAACGCACAAGATGTGAAAGCAGAAAATTTATGTATAATGGTGTCATGCCTTATAATTGCGACAAAAATGATGTTGACTTGAAGAGAAGAATTATGCGGAAATATGTTATTATTTATTGGCTGTGTGACCTTTTGTTCTTTAGTGTTCTTATTTTACTTGGATGATATATGGATTGATGACACCTGGCATAACCCTTTTTTTTCACTCGTTATGATGACAAGCTGGATATTGTTTTTGATCATGCAATGTCCCTTTAGAGTTTCTTCATATTTCTGGCAATGGTTTTGAATACAAATCTTATGAACCTATTAATCATTTCAAGGCGGTGGGTGATCAAATCAATTGCTGGAAGATGTCCAACTCTGCAAGAAATTTTGGGAAAAGAATCTGAGCTGGTTGAGAAAATAGCTGAGGTCTAACTTCGATTCATGAACTGTTCATTTTTTACTTTCAAATGTCTGTTTCAACCTATTTGTCTATAACATATGTCACATGTATTGATGTTTTGTGCCTGTTTTGTTATGGAATATGCGATTATTATCAGAACTGTTCCTTAAAGTTTCCCTAGTTGCAATTTCTTGTGGATGTTCTTTTATATTACATGTTACTTTTTTATTTTTATTTATAGAGATCAAAAATGAATTACCGTGCATGGAATCATCGATGTTGGCTGGTCCCTTACATGTCAACAGAACAGGTTAGATCTCCCTCTCTCTCTCTCTCTCTCTCTCTCTCTCTTTCTTTCTTCAAGGACGGCTGCTTTAGTCCTTAAACTGTAATTTCCAAATAATAGTAAGACCTTGGGTTTTAGTGTTAAGCACAAAGATGACAGATGTTTTGATGGTCCTTAACATGCAGCTTGAGTTTTCTACACGTGTTTATTGTGAGGTTTATAAATCTAAATGTGTGCTTTTTTTTTTTTGGTTAAAAATCTAAATGTGTGCTTACAGGTGCTACATGAGTTAAAGAAATCCAGAAACTGGGCGGGCTTGCATGTTGCTGATAATAGTTGCTTCCATTACAGAAGAGTGAGTCTCCTCATATGAAGAGAAGAAACAATATCCCTCCTTTTTCTGATGAGTAGAAATATTCTTATGACATAAAATGCCTCGAATTTTGTATTTTTTGAAAATGTTCAACCTATTCAAGTCATATGTTTTTATGACATTTTTAGCTCTAGAATTGTTAGTATTTTGCTATGTGCACACCTGCTTGGAGAGTCATTTATGTTTTGCTTATCAGTATCAAATAGGCATTATTGTAATCTGTTAGACTTCACCTTGTCAAGTATGTCTTTTATATGTGCAGCGGTTAATGCTTAAACTTTTAGATGACTCAAGTGATGAAGATAACCCAAAAATTGTGTCTTCTGGGTGTACCGTTGAAATTCTTCAATTGTTGAAGGTACAGCTTGTCTTTCTTGACTATGAAAAAACGATTACAATTTCATTGTAGTATGCAAGCAAGGCATGTGTATTTGACTTTGTCCTTGTCTTGTTCTTAAAATTCCATCCGTCTCTATATGCCACGTTTTTTTTTTTACTTTTGACAGTTTGGGTATGTGACAGGAGGAGCTTGACTGGAATGAAATGCTGATAAAGCTCTATGTTGGAAGAGAGGTATGTGGTTTTTGCCTTTTTGTTAGGCAAAAAAAAAAAAGGTTTAGAAAACAAAAGGAGCCTATCTTAAAATCAAGTTCCATGCAAAAGCTCTCAACTCTATTTTCTTTCAACTCTTTTCAAACCCAAGTTTTTTCACTACAGTATTAACTCAAGCAGGGTCTATGGCTTCATCGCCGCTTCCTTGCTCTAGTTCTGATAAAGCGTTTCTTAGTTCATCACGCTTCGATCGACATGAACAATGACTTCGGTACATTCATGGATAGTGAGTTGCACCTCCTCAGCTCCTGCTCAACCGTTCCGGATAGTCACTTTGAGGATCACGAATCACAAGCTTTATTCTCTGCTACTTATATGCTGTGGTTAGTGAAGGTAAAAAATATTTATCTTTAACATTTGAACGTTTTCATAATTTTACGTGTTCTCTCTTAAATTGAGTTGGTTTTTGGTCACTTACTCTTATCTGCACAGCAAATTCCTGAATTTCATGGGATTGGTTTCCTAAAGAAGCTAAGAGCAGAGAACTTGGAGTCTATCTTGAACAAGGCGTGCTCGGAAAAGTCTTTCCATTGGGACTTTTAAATTGTTTACCAAGAAGAGTCGTCATTATATTATTGTGAAAGGAGAACGACAACCTTTATATTGGTGCACATGTGTTAGTGTTGTCCTTTTTCCAAAAGAAGTTATAAAGATCAATTTTAAATGACATTTCTAACTTTCAGATTTTATTTCATTTCACTGATTCGAGTTTTCAGTTATAGGTTTCTATAGTAAAAAGTTTTCAGAAAATGTCACGTCTAACTTTTTCTGTTACAGTGAAAAGCTCTTAGAAAATGTCACATCTCAGCTCGAATTGAAAACTCGAATCTGCGAAGTGAACGAGACCGAAAGCTTAATTTTGTTTTGAACTTGCCAAACCGATGTTTATTCTACAGAATTTTAATTTCAAGTGATTCGAAATTTAATCTAAACAAGTTTGAAGCATGTTGAACAAATTTTGAGTCCGCGTAGGTCTAGAAGTCTAGAAATCTCGTTAGATCCCCTGAAGATAAAGAAAGTAATGACACAAATGTGCACTTTGATAATCTTGTGTCTAAATGTCTATTTTTTAACAATATTACAAAATGTGTGTCAGTGTGTGTATTGCCCACCCCTTGCCTACTTTCTCACATCCATTAGTAATGAATTTTGTTATTATACAAATACTCATTAACAAAGTTAATTTTTAAATAAAAATATTTTAAAAAAAATTCTCTTCACACACCGCACTTTAATAATTAAAAGAATACACCTTCTAAATACAGTAAGTGTTAAATACGCGTATGCCATGATTATACTATGAATATTAGACGGCTTTCTCATCGAAACATTTTTTTCGCTCTGAATAATCGAAGCAATTAGGAAAGTGTAACCCTTTTTTTTTCCTCTCTTTCAAATATCTTATTGATCAGTTTCTTCTATATTTTTTGAGTATTTTTCTATCTCTTTTTTTTTTTTTTTTTTGGCGACAATCGCAATATACATCTTATATCCACCTTAGCAGTACTGTTCTCTTTGTGAAATTTAATTTATTGAATTTATTGTTGGTCTTTATAAAATAAATAAATATATAATTACGTGGAAATAAATGTTTATTGTTATTTACTTCAAATAATTTTAAAATATATTATTTACTTAATTTAGTTTCATAAATTTACTATTATTTCCCTAAATTTTGAAGTCAATTTCCCTAAATTTTGAAGTTAATATTTTGATCCTTTTTAAAGCAAAGCCGTTGTCACTACTACTTGTGAATGTTGGTCAACTTTAAATCTGGTTTGTTTTATTGATGATTTCAAATGCTTCTTCATTATACCACAATTCCTAGTAGTGTTGAGAAATAATGTCGATCGTAGAACACAGACACAAATGCAAATACACTAACGTGCTAGGTTATAAAAAGGCAAGTACGTTATCACTATGGCACTCAATGAAATACTTAGAATTATTATCATTTATGTCACATGAATTTTTGAATGACTGTCATTTTACCCTTTTAAATTTTAAAAATTCCCACCTTACTATTTTAAATTTTCATGAACTTTCACTTTGTCTTTTCCATCCAAATTTCTGTTTAAGAGATATGAAAAATGTCCCACGTGCATGGTATTTGAGAGTAAAATCATAATTGAATTTTTAATAATTTTCATCTATACCCCTTAAATTTTAAAGTCATATTCACTTTGTTTCTTAAACTTTAAAATCGTCTTCACTTTATCTCCTGAACTTTTTTATAGCTAATAAAAGAAATGATAATTTTGTTAATTCATAGCTAATAAAAGAAATGATAATTTTGTTAATTTTACAAAACATCAATTATTTTTTAAAAAAACCTTAAAAAACGCTCATTTGCCTCTATATCCTTTTATTTCCTATGCATCTCAAAAGTTAATTATGCGGGTTTGATTTTTTCTCCTTTTACAAAATCCCGTATATGGATTTTTTATTTTTGTGTGGTCTGGTAGTGGGTTGAGTTTCTATTTGAGCTCAATTTTCTGGGTTTGCTTGTTATATAGATGAGTAGAAGTGTTTATCGAATTAGCCAATACGATCATTAAAAGAATTTTAGATTTGTAACATATTGAGATTTTCTCGATCCACATTAACAAATTGAATCACGGTTTGAGTATTTTTTTAATTCACATAATCCGTCAATTTAAAGTACATATATTATAAATATATATATGGTATTTTTTATTCTATATTTTTAAATAACATATCCTACGTATTTTTTTCATCATATAATACACATATAATTTGTGTGTATGGAATCTCAATACTGTCTTATACGGCACATTTAATACAAAGCCCATTAGCCCAAGCCCAAATAATTTCTAATACTTTACTTTTTGGGTCCAACGCATTTTAATTCGTAGAAGAATAGAACCATAATAGTAATCAATCCTGCCGCCACACACCCACCCGACCTCATTTTATGATAACAGAACCTTAATGTCTATTTTGATTTTATATTATTTTATGTTTGTATTTAATTTTGTTATTAATTTTACAAAAATATTAACAAAAAAGAGATGAGTTACAAGAGTCAAGGTCCAAAGTAAGCTAATTTGTGAATACGCATAATTTAATCTGTGGAATCTATTGTGGATTAGATTGGATCGAGGGTTTAACGAATTAATAACATATTGAGATTTTTTCAATTCACATTAAGAGATTGGATTGCAGATTAATCCTAATTCGTATAATCTGATCCGTGAACACCCCTTAATGCCCAACTTGTAGCTAAAATTGGGTGACTTTTGATTTATTTTTGTTTTTAGAAAAGATGTTTGCCACGGTGCTCATATCAGTCCAATTGCATTCTCGTATAAAGATAAGCCATTTTTAATTTTTTTTTAAATAAATTTGAGAGCAACTCTAACCATGGTAGCTATTTCATATTTTTATCTAAAATGACTAATGATTTAGTTAGAATTTAACTTTTCTCAACTCCAACCATTAGCTAAAGGGTCAGCTATTTTGGAGGCTTTATTTCACAGTAGCTAATATTAGGGATGGCAATGGGGCAGGGTAGGGGCAGAGGATGATTTCCCAACCCCATCCTCGTCCCCTTAAAGTATCCTCATCCCCATTCTCATCCTTGCTTAAGGAGGGGCGGGATCGGAGTCGGGGATTCCTCATTGGGAGAGTTTTCCCCATACTCGTCATATTCCCTATCATATATGATTATGCATTTTAAAATTATAACTACTTAAAATATATAAAAAAAAAAATATAGTGGAAATTCATTATAAATTTATACCAAAATCAATGGTTCCATAATAAAAACTAAATTCTTAACCTATTATAAACTGAATCCAAAAGTAATAACTAACATATAAGTGAAAAAAGTTTTAAAACATCAAAATATAAACGTAAATTGTCCTTCCTTGTATATTCTTAATAGCTTCAATTTTCATTGTATGGTTGCACATTAATATGGAGGCGGAGGTGGGATGGGGAGTACTTCCCATGTTCCTACTCTGTCAAGAATTGGGGACTAGATTTTATTCTGATCCCCATCCACATCCTCTATAATTGTCCCATATCCCCACCCTGTTCGGGGCGAGGTCACATCCCTGTGGGAAATATTGCTATCCCCACCTAATATGGGTAGCAAGAAGGGATTATCCATTTGAATTTTTTGTATTTTTTTATTTTTTTTAAACCATAATAAATGCAAAGATTTTTTCTAAAATCAATAGAGTTATTTATATTTTTAAACTCAATAAATATTAAAATATTTTATGCTTAGTTAAAATAAGGAGTACGGTTGGAGCTAAAATAATTTTTTAGTCATTTTAACTAAAAGAGTAATTGATATTATTGGTAGTTTTATCAAGAGATTGTTTTCAGTATAAAAAAAATTCATTAATGTCTCTCTCTCTCTGTGCTCGAGAGAGGAGAAAACAAAAACAAAAAATGAAAAACGACTAAAAGTCATTTTTCATTTCTCTCATTTTATACTAAACCAAAAACTTGTTTCATTTCCGTTTTCTGTCTTTAATTGTACCAAACGCCGTTTTTCTTCCGTTTTTCATTTTTTTTCTCAAAAAATATGAAAAACAAAAATAAAATCAACTCTAAACACGGCCAAAATGTGCAATTTTCTCTTTTTTTATAGACATGTTTTTCCTTTTTCTTTAATTTTAATTTTTGTTAAAAAAATATTAACTCTTGTTACTTTATTAAATACACTTCTAAGTTAGATCACATGCATTGCACATTATCATTCCTATTAAAAACTTGACGGTTTTTGGATGAAAAGGGTTTAATTGTCATTGTTTTAAGAGTTTGAGGGTTATTTTTTTAAATTAAAAAAAGGACCAATATTACTTAATAAAGAGTTTAGGGACCAATGATGTCAATTATTTTAACTAAAATTTAAAGAGTTATAATTTAAAAGATCAAAGCAGTTATTATCATTGTCTTTTAACCATATAATTTTAATCAATGGCTCCTATTAACATGCTCCATGGAGCAAAATAGGGTGCCCTAAAATAGAGAAACCTTATATATATCAGTAAAATATATAATGGAACTTTGATGTATAATTCGTTTTTTGTCCGCCTTGAAAGAACTTACTTCTCAATTAAAGAGAAAATAAATCGTCACAGAAAACGGAAAAAAACAAAAAATTGAGGCCATTGGTTAGAAGTAGTAGCAAAATTCACCAACAAAGAAAAAAAGAAAGTTTTATGATCAAATTTTCCAAAACTATTTTCAAATACTAGGGGTATGTAAACCAATTAAACTGTTTATTTTAGGTGAAATACAAACTAAATCAATTACAAATTAGTTTTAAGATTTCAAATCAAACCAAATCAATTAAGAGGTTGGTTTGGTTTGTTTTTTTTAATTGTTTTGAACTAATATTTTAGGACATCTTCTCAAGTACTATTAACCGTAATTGATACTAACATTTCGTATGACAGACATTCTATTATTTTGTAATTATAAACATCAATGACTCAAGAACAAAATATCTAATTCAAACATAAAGAAAACATCCAAAGTTAAAAATTAAACATCTTGAACACAAAATTAAAACTTTCAAATCCACAAATCAATTTTTGATTCTAAACTCTTTAGACTCCTTAAAAAATGCTTTGTTTAATATAATTGTAAACTTCTTCCATAGTTCACAAAAAATTGACAATGAA